GTGGCCTGAATGAAATCAGTTGACTCCCAGAACTATGTTTTGTCTGGTTACTGGGGGAATGGATGCTTGGGTGTTTAATGCTTCCAGTCTGAGAGAAGGAAATAGCGGAGGTAACCAGTCGGGTTACCCGGGGTACGCTACAGAAATATATATGGACTACAAATCCAATAACACTATGTACACCTACTGCTGGCCGATAATTATGGGGGTTGTAGTTTAGTAGCTTGTGCGGTTGGTAGTTTATATAACTGCTTAAAAAAAAATTACTTTATCTAGTAACCATTTTGGGTATGGCTGCCTTCAACTGCACGGTATGCTTGGTCTTCTATGTGGGTATATACAAAACGTTGGATAGAAAGTCCCAAAAATATTACACGTGCCAGAAAACACAACATTTGCATTGCACTAAAAAAGTGAAGTAGAACAGATTTTTCTCTCTCTTTTTCTTTTCAAGTTCCTATTCTCAAACAGTGAAACAAACCGACTTCCTCTACTAAACCTGACTGCTAAAATGGCATGCTCCTGCAATCACTGTTTGCGTCATAATGCTTTCATTGTATAACCTTTGTCACTGTCTTCCAGTTGTCTGCTGCTCTGCAGTTACTGTGCCATATCCAAGACATTTGACCAAAAGTGAAGTGACCCACTCTTCATAATCAACACCCAGGGATATGTTATGTTCCTAATTGTTTTTTAATTGGATAATTTGGTAACCTGTTCTCAAATGTTGAAACAAGCCTAGTGGCCCATTCTCCAAATGTTACATAACCAGGCCCGTCGCTAGTGGGCAGGCAAACCAAGCAATTGCTTGGGGCCCCAAGCAGAGCTGGTGTTTCCTATAAGGCTGCAGCCGCCTGAGCGCTCTGTAAAGAGCCTCAGGCGGCTGCAGCACTCCTCTCTCGTCACCTCCCCTTCCGTGTAGCGTTGCCGAGCTCCTCTTCCTCCTGGCTGTCAGTCCGGCCAGGTACCGCGCGGTACAGGAGATTCAGTTTCCTGTTCCCGGCCGGACTGACAGAAAGTGCACACTGAGTGCTTACTTCCTTTCATTCCGACCGGGAACAGGAAACTGAATCTCCTGTACCGCGCGGTACCCGACCGGACTGAAAGCCAGGAGGAAGAGGAGCTCGGCCACGCTACAGGGAAGGGGAGGTAACTGAGAAGAACATAGGTGGGGGGGTTGTAAAAAGAACATAGGGAGGGAGCGGGGGTAGTAAAAAGAACATAGGAAGGAAGGGGGTAGTAAAAAGAACATAGGGGATAGTAAAAAGAACATAGGGAGGAAGGAGGGTAGTAAAAAGAACATAGGAAGGGGGGGGGGAGTAAAAAACATAGGGAGGGGGAGTAAAGGAGAACAGGGGTGAGGAGATGAGGAGAACACGAGGGGGGAGGTGAGGAGAAGCGAGATGAGGAGAAACACAGGGAGGGTGAGGAGAAGCGAGATGAGGAGAACACAGGGGGGGTGAAGAGAAGCGGAGATGAGGAGAACAGGGGGAGGTGATTAGAGACTGGTAGGGGAGGGTGGGGGGAGAGGAAAGACCACTAAGGGGCAGGGCAGAGTTGTAAAGGATGGAAGAGAATGCTCAATAGGACAGGGGGCAGGACAGGGAGCACTTTCACACTATGCGCACAGCAGTTTTAGATAATTTGCACGTTTGTGAGAACTGAAATGTCCATGTCCATTTTGCTTGGGGCCCCCAAATTCCTTCAAAAATAACATATAACAAAACATTCAGCGAATTCAGCTTTCTCAGACTCTGCCCTACATCAGAAGGGTCTCCATTACACTGTGAAGACAATGCCGCTATAGGAACGAATATAATGTGACTAGTGGCCTGGGGCCTGATTAATATGATGCACCTGTGCCACTAAATAGCATATAATTGAGATCCTACATGGCCTTAGGCAGGTTACAGGTTTGGGTTCCCCTTCGTTCTTCACATAGTGATGTGGCAATGGTGATTGTGTTTAGACAGTCATTCTCCTGTGGTTGAGTAGTTATCTCCAACAACCCCTAAACAAACCCGGAGACTCCACGTTCTATGGCAAGACAACATCTCTGTTATTTATAAATACTTAAAGGACCACTATAGTGCCAGGAAAACATACTCTTTTTCCTGGCACTATAGTGCCCTGAGGGTGCCCCCACTCAGGGTCTCCCTCCCGCCGGGCTCTAGGGGGTGGAAGGGGTTAGACTGACCTCTTTCTCCAGCACCGGGCGGGGGACTCTCATCCTCCTCTCCTCCTCCTCTCCTCCTCCTCGGCTGAATGCGCATGCGCGGCAAGAGCAGCGCGCGCATTCAGCCAGTCTCATAGGAAAGCATTCACAATGCTTTCCTATGGACGCTGGCGTCTTCTCACTGTGATTTTCACAGTGAGAAGCACGCAAGCGCCTCTAGCGGCTGTCAACGAGACAGCCGCTAGAGGCTGGATTAACCCTAACATAAACATGGCAGTTTCTCTGAAACTGCTATGTTTATAGAAAAAAGGGTTAACCCTAGCTGGACCTGGCACCGGTCTGGGTGCCTAGAGTGGTCCTTTAACTCAGACTGATCTAATTTCATTTATTTACATACATATATGCTGAAACATATTCAGCACTGCTGTACAATAGGTAAAGAAGACAAAAATGTAATTATAGTAAAACATGTATTGCATAAAGAAACAGCAGGATGAAGATGAAGAGGACATTGCCCAAACAAGCTTACAATCTAATAAAAGAAAAATGACTGCAATCAATTTGATCGATAGACAGAAACTGGACATACTAAAAACATAAACTTAACCTAAACTTAAAAAAAAGTTATTTAAGTGGGCATAGAGATTTGGTATAGTGCGCAGGTAATTTTTTAGTTTTTTGTTTTGTTTTTTGTCTATGTATTTGGGTGTAATGGGTGTTTACCATATTAACCCCTTAAGGACACAGCTTCAAAAGCTTACTTGCACATAAGGATACAAGCAATTTTTGCATTTATTGCTGTTTGCATTCAACTGCGATTTGCATTTTACAAATTTTTTGCACCAACACACATTATATACTGTTTTTAACCCCTTAAGGACACATGACATGTGTGACATGTCATGATTCCATTTTATTCCAGAAGTTTGGTCCTCAAGGGGTTAAAGGACAAAACAGACTTTAATTTGATGTAAATAATATAAATGCTTATTTATTATTAAAAAAAAAAGCAAAAAAAAATGAAAAATATTGTTTGGTTTTTTTTTACCGTTTTTGCAATAATAATGTGTGCATAATTATTGCAGGTTAACGAATGTAATTAAAAAAAATAATTTAGTTGTTTTGATTTACAGAATATATAATGTATGTAGGATTTGAAGTTTTTTGGTTTTTTTTGGAGTTACAGGTCACAAAACACAAGGAGTAAAATAAATGTGGAGTAATTTTAGAATTTGGTATGTTTGTCTTGTAAGCTTAATAGCCATAAAAGAAAACAAAATTGCCACACAAAAGTATATATTTATATAAAGTAGACATCACAGGCTATTTACCTAAGGTTATTTTGACACTTTCTATGTAGCCATTTCACTGCCAATCTCTGCTAAATATTGCAGTCAAATTGTGTTTTTTGTTTTTTTTACACATAAACTTATAACAAAGATCTTCTCATGTGTATTTCGTAAAGTTGGTGTGTGCTATTCCTGTACAAAACCTCATGTTGTGTTCAGCTACATCTGCTGAGTACAACGATATCCCCATTGTATGTCTTTGGCACTATTTCGTGAAGCTACAGTGCCATACAGGAGACCTGTCCATTTCAGTATTTACAGTAGAATTTTGAGAGACGGATTTGATGGGTCTACGTTTCAATTTGGGGTATTATAGCAGGTTGACTGTTCAAAAAACCCCACAAAGGCCTACCATTTGTTAAAGTAGACACTCCAGGGTATCTCATAAGGTGCATATTGTGTCTTAACATGCCCCCATTTGTTCACCAATATATGTCAAAGTATGTGGTAAAAAAATAATTTTGGGCATTTTTAGATACGTATTACATTTTTGCTGGTCATTTTGTTTACCTTATATACTCGAGTATAAGTCGAGTTTTTCAGCACATTTTTTGTGCTGAAAAACCCCCACTCGACTTATACTCGAGTCAAGGTCTGTATTATGGCAACTTACATTGCCATAATACAGACCAGGACCGCCGGGCTCATTACAAGCTCGGCGGTCCTGTTAGGGGCTGGCAGCGAGCTGTAACTTACCTTTCCTGCAGCTCCTGTCAGCTCCCTTCTCCTCCGTGCTGGTTAGCTCCCTTCTCCTCCACTGTAAATCTCGCGAGAGCCGTGGGGTCAGAGCGTTGCCACGGGTTACCGTGCGGCAGTCACACCGCAAGACTTACAGTGGAGGAGAAGGGAGCTGACTGGAACGCAGGAGAAGTGAGCTGACAGGAGCTGCAGGAAAGGTAAGTTACAGCTCGCTGCCAGTCCCCCTCCTACACAGCCTATGCCACTGGACCACCAGGGAATGAGAGCCCCCCTCCCTGGCCATGTATCAAGCAGGGAGGGGGGACGAAAATAAATAAATAAAACATTTAAATAATATTAAAATAAAAAACATACTAATAATATAAATAAAAAATAATAATAATAATTTTAAAAAATAATAAAAATGCCCACCCCCCACCAATCACATACACACACTGCACTCATACACACACACTGCATTCATACACACACACACACACACACACACACACATTACATTCATACACACACACACACACACACTGCCCTCATACACACACACACACTGCATTCATACACACACACACTACACTCATACACACACACACTGCATTCATACACACACACACTGCACTCATCCACACACACACACACACACACACACTGCATTCATACACACACACTGTATTCATACACACTGCATTCATACAAACACACTGCATTCATTATGTACACACACTGTAAATAAATATTCAATTAATATAATTTTGGGGGGATCTAATTTTATTTAGAAAGTTACCAGTAGCTGCTGCATTTCCCACCCTAGTCTTATACTCAAATCAATAAGTTTTCCCAGTTTTTTGGGGTAAAATTAGGGGTCTCGACTTATATTCAGGTCGACTTATACTCGAGTATATACGGTATTTGATATGTGTGACCAGGGGAGGGCTGGCAGCCTTAGGCCTGGGGGGCAAAACCAGTCAAGTGGCCCGTCATGCGTTCTTAAGGGGTTAAAGGTTAATAAGTGTATAGGGGATCAGAAACATTTATGTCTCTTTAGAGATGTCTTTTGACTGAAAGCAGCAAGGTAAATTCTTAGTGTATAACTTACCTAAAAGGTTAGTGGGAGTTCTAGATATGTTAAAAGTATAGTCTTTAAAAATAATTCTAATCCAACAAAATGTATACATTTGGGTTCATTAATGCAGTCCAGTTATTCAAATCAACTTCTTTTATTAAATCAAAGTTATGAAAGACTTTGTTTTACTAGTATATCTTGACAAAATGTCTTTCTAAATGTTGAAATTAAGTGATTACTTTACAGAGAGGGTAGTGGATGCATGGAATAGCCTTCCAGCTGAAGTGGTAGAGGTTAACACAGTGAGGGAGTTTAAGAATGCGTGGGATAGGCATAAGGCTATCCTAACTATAAGATAAGGCCAGGGACTAATGAAAGTATTTAGAAAATTGGGCAGACTAGATGGGCTGAATGGTTCTTATCCAAAAAGATCCCAGAAAAAACGTGGAGATCCTTGCACGCCTTTAATTAAACTAGTACTGATAATAAGACTTTAGAGAGGACATCTAATTTAGTGGTATTTAGAAAAAATATTTTAAATAAAAAAAAAAAAGTCATTATGGACTCATAGTATCAAGTCACATTCAGGCTCTCTAACTCATGTAAATTACAATATAAACACTTCTACAACATAAGGTACCGCAAGGTCTTTTCTTATGAAGAAGACACTTTCATAGAAGGTCATCTTGGATTTTGGTCCATATTTACAAAGCATGTTTAGTTACATTATTCTTCCAACCTTCTGCCATTTCTACGGTGTTGCTGCCTCTCAATGCCTTTATAAGTTTAGCCCAAAATAGCTTCTGTGCTTCCTGTTCTGAAGGCCAACTGATATAGGTCTTCTTCAGCATGACTTTCCTCATTCTGTGGTAAGTGGAAAGTTCTCTATCTGGGATGTCTTCCAACAATAGGAGGACAAGAACATCCCTCATCTCATCGAACAGCTTGTAGCTAGCCAACTGCATTTCCAGAGAGCACCACTCACTGCGGAGATAGCTCCTACTGACCACACAGACAGTCTTACGGCTATTGTGAATACTGTCCACTATATTGTCTATGATATCCCTCCCCAACTGAAAATCTCTGTGATGAAGACAAAGTCGGAGGGCCGGAGAAGGACTGCAGGACTCTAAAGTTGGAAGCATTGTTTTGTAGACCCATTCTTCATCATGGGTGTTGTAGGAAACAAATGCGTCATATTTGTACATCTCCTTGTTTGATTTCCAGCGTTCGTGTAGCCAGGCAATAAAGAGGAAGTAATTATATTTGATGTGCCAATAAGATTTGCCATAGACAATGGGGATGACTGTAAAAAGCAGCACAATAGTAAGGGAGACACAGAAAAGCTGCAATTTGAGTTTCATATCACAGACTTTGATATCAAAGTCATGGAAGTATGAGTTGGGATTGTCTGAGCATGACAAGTTATAGGGAAACACTACGTGCACCTGAGGCTGACTCAACCATTGCTTGAGTGGTTCATTGTTACATGTGCAAGTAATCGGGGATTTTCGAATGTCAAGATATGTTAAGCTTGTCATGTTTTTTAAAATATCAATATTTATATGCTTTAAGGCATTTTTCATCAACTGAAGTTTTCTCAACTTGGTAAGATTTGAAAAGACATGAGGATTTAAGGTCTGCAGACATATATTCTCTAAATTCAATGAACGTAGACTAAATAGATTCTTGAAAATTCCATCGGGTAGATTCTGTATTCCATTACAGTCATCTGACAAACTCAGATAAACCAATTGGCCGAGTTCATCAAACACATTGGCGTGGAGATGTGTGAGCCTGTTTTGTGCCAAATCTAGTAATCTCAGGGATGTTAACCCTTTAAAGAACCCATAAGGTATGACTATAAGGCCAAATGGTTGCTGATTCTGGAGTTTCATATCATACAACTTGTTAAGTTTGTAGAATGGTGAGAAATATTCCCTTGAAGATTCAAAACTAAGACGGTTGGCCATCAAGTCCAACACTTGCAAAGTGTTCTGAATACTACGGAAGGTGTCACTGCTGATGGTCTGAATCTTATTTCCATCCAGATATAGCTTGGATAGGCTTTGAAGTCCATAAAGAGAATTATTTTCAAGGTGTGTTATTTTGTTGCCTCCTAGATCCAAGATTGTGAGATTCCCCAGTCTTTGGAAGACATTATCAAAGATAACAGATAGTCTGTTGTTTCTAAAATTGAGTATTCTGAGCTCTGTCAGATCATCAAAAAGATTAGGATATATATCAGGTATAAGGTTATTATCCAGACGCAGTGATTTCAGACTTTTAAGGCCACTGAACGAATGCTTTTTTAAAAAAATAATGTTGTTGATGTTTAATTTCAGTTCCTGTAAATTTGGTGCATAACTGAATGCGTGTTCATTAACTGACCAAATTCTATTGAATCGGAAGGAAATGTATGTCAAATTTGAGAACTTAGCTCTATTGACACAGCTTTTTAATTCCTTTAGGAGGTTGTGTTCCACAATCAAAGTCTTAAATTCAGACCTATACATGAATCTCAGGCAGTTAACATCTTTTATCTTGTTTCTAGATAAATCCACGGTATTTTTAACTGTACAATTTTCAAGAGTGTTTTCTGGCAAAAACTTAATCTCATTTCCCAGCAGGGAGAGACTGGTCATATTAATGCCTTTTAAATAATAACACAATTCGGATATTTTGCTCCTATTAGTTAGACCAAGTCCGGAATAATCTATGTTGCTTAGAGAAATACTAGAATTTTGAATGAATTTATATATGTCAAAATACTTATTGTACTGCATATTCAAATATATCATCTTGGTCAAGTTCAATGACTGCAAGGAAGGTGAGGTCAAATTATTGCATGATAGATCGAGATATTTTACGTTGATGAACAAATTTTTATCACAGTGTAATTCTTGCAAGCGGTTATTGCAAATGAAAAGTTGAGACAGGGATAAGGGGAGATTGTGAGTATGACTGAGAGACGTTAGACTGTTACTGCATACAAAAAGTGATTTCAATCTCTGCAGTGGTTGGATGGACTCAACAATTTCGTGGAAACTCTTAAGATAATTGGACGACAGGTTCAGGAATCTTAGGCTAACAAGAGGCCTAAGTAACTCAACTTGAATAAAGTCAATGGAATTCTGATGAAGAAAGAGATATGTAAGGTTTCTAAGACCTCTGAAGACGTCTTTAGGAAGAAAGGAGATGTTGTTGTTTGAAAGATCCAAAATCTCCAATTTAGTCAAGTTATCAAATGCCCCAGTTTTAATATTCTTTAGATTGTTGTAATCTATACGTAACTGCAGAATCAGCGGCATGTGACCAAAACTTCCCTGATGTAAGGTTACAATATTGTTGTGCGATACGTTCAGAAATTTGGTGTTGTTTGGTAGGTCGGACACAGCGCTCTGTATGTTCAGCAGGAGGCGATGGACACAGTTGTAACTCTCATGATTGCCGTAGCTTTGTATGCAGTTCCTAAATCCGTAACTTGCTACGAAAGGAAGCAAAATTATTCCCAACTGAAAGCAAGTCCTGAGAAAATTCATCATTCTCGAGTGACCCATGAAGTAATTGGATTCACCTTGAAGAAAGACCTGTATGGTGATAAAGTCATTGATTTTTAGAGACTGAATTAGGAAAGAGTTTTTTTGTCCCAGTAGAATGAAGTACTGGATATTGGGGGACAAGTTAAAAGGTCCATGATGAGAGGAATCTTCTACCTCATGTATAACAAGAGCTTTCAAAAAGGGGTTGATAGCGGCACTGTGGAGATAAAGGTGAGACACAGGAGATCAGATAGCATATTTGAATATAATGTGCATCCAAACAAAAATTATACATTTGCAAGATGTCAGGTTAGAATATTCTGTAATGCAGTATGTACCATTGCACATTGTGCATTAAACAGACAATTCTGGTAAAATATGCAAATCACATTGTATGAAAAAGAAAAACTGATTTAGTAATTGGGGATATTAGTGTTTGAGCATTAGATTAAGTAAAATGCACAATAAATTTGAAGTTGAAAAGTCTGCCGAGTTTATTCATGAATGAATTGTTATGAATTGGAAACCACATTTAAAAAATTGGGCTAAAATAGGGGCTGATTTAATAACAGCTGATAGCTGATAACGGCAGCTTTTAACTGTTCGGAGGGATGTAATACAAGTAATTCAAAGGAACACTATAGTCTCCTAAATTACTTTAGCTAATTAAAGCAGTTTTAGTGTATAGATCATTCCCCTGCAATTTCACTGCTCAATTCACTGTCATTTCGGAGTTAAATCACTTTGTTTCTGTTTATGCAGCCCTAGCCACACCTCTCCTGGCTATGATTGACAGAGCCTGCATGAAGAAAAAAACTGGTTTCACTTTCAAACAGATGTAATTTACCTTAAATAATTGTATCTCAATCTCTAAATTGAACTTTAATCACATACAGGAGGCTCTTGCAGGGTCTAGCAAGCTATTAACATAACAGGGATAAGAAAATATTAATTAAACAGAACTTGGAATAAAGAAAGCCTAAATAGGGCTCTCTTTACAGGAAGTGTTTATGGAAGGCTGTGCAAGTCACATGCAGGGAGGTGTGACTAGGGTTCATAAACAAAGGGATTTAACTCCTAAATGGCAGAGGATTGAACAGTGAGGCTGCAGGGGTATGTTCTATACACCAAAACTGCTTCATTAAGCTAAAGTTGTTCAGGTGACTATAGTGTCCCTTTAAGGCTTTTTTGGGGAGATGATAAATTGCGGTTTGAGTAGCTTTTTTTTTTTAGGTGATTTTGAAAACTTTCCAATATCCTTAAAAGAGTTGTGTATGCAAGACTGATAGACTTCCTAAAATCCAAGTCTCTGCTCGATCTGCTTCAGTCTGGTTTCCACACTCAGCACTCTGTCGAAATGGCTCTGACCAAAGTATCCAATGATCTACTTGCTGCAAAATCTCGTGGTCACTATTCTATTATAATTCTTCTTGACCTGCTTTTGACACTGTTTGAAACTGATCATCAACAGCTTCTACTCATCCTCCATAATTTCGGTCTACAAGATATTGTGCTCTCCTGGTGCTCCTCCTACCTCTACCAGTGCTCATTCAGTGTTTCTTTCTCTGGCTCTGCCTCTTCTCTCAAACCCCTCTCTATTGGTGTTCCCCAAGGTTCAGTCCTTGGTCCCCTACTGTTCTTGATATATACTGCCTCCCTTGGTGAACTTATCAGCTCCTTTGGCTTCCAATATAATTTCTATGCAGATGACACGCAAATCTATCTGCTTCTCCTGATCTCTCTCCACCCCTCTTGACTCGTGTCTCTTACTTCCTCTCTGCTTTTTCTAACTGGATGGCTCCTCACTTCCTTAAACTCAACCTGATCAAAACAGAACTTTTGGTCTTCACTCCAGTTTCTGTCTCCCTCCACGTTAATGGCCCTACCATCAGTTCCACCACGCAGGCTCCCTGCCTATGTGTATTCTTTGACTCCGACCTCTCCTTCACCCCTCATGTCCAGTCAATTGCCAACCACATCCATTTAAAAATCGTTGCCCACATCCGCCCCTACATAATGCTGCTCCAGCCTATCTATCCTCCGGAATACACAAGTATGTTCCATCAAGGCCCTTACGCTCTGCAGAAGATCTATGTCTATCTTCTGTTCGTACTCCCACCTCTAATGCTCGCCTCCAAGATTTCTATAGGGCTGCACCATTCCTGTGGAACTCCTTTCCCTTCTCCGTTAGATGCTCACCTAGTCTCCAGTCCTTCAAACAATAATTAAAAACTCACTTTTTCATAGCATGTCTAACGGATCGATCCAGAGTGATGAGTTATCACTACCAAGCACTCCAGCTAAGACAAATTCTCCCAGCAGACTTAACGAACCTCCCAGCCCTGCTTCTAGCTACAAATCTTAGACTATTCCAAAAATAACGGCAGAATTAAAAACGAAAAAATTTACCTTATCCTACCACTGCTAGGAAAGCGGAATTGTTCCATTTATTGAAAGTCCATAACGATAGTAAAAGGCCAGGCACCACAATGTAACCCCAGCTCACCTGGTACCACCTAACTTAAGGAAGGATATTTTGGAAGGTAAGGACATTAAGCTGGTATATAACCAGTATTCCCGTCATAGCTTCCCAAGATGTTGTTGACAATAAGTCCTATGCATTTGGTAATCTCAGAGTAGTAATAAAAGCTAGAGATCCTAGGCTGAACAAAAAATTGTGTATTCCCGAGTTTGTGTTGACCTTCGGTCAGTTCAGGGATGTAGTTTGCACCATTCACCCGAACCGTATGCAGGAATTAGACTTGTATTTGCACAAACTGGTGGACCTTGGGCATAAGTACGGTGGGTTTGCTTATTTTGACTACCACAAGTTGTTTTCTGCAAAGGCTGCAGCTGCCTTGGCCCAGTTCAATGTCCATACGGACTGGAGCCAACTTGATACATAATTATTTTGCAGGCACTTCGAGGGCCTCAAGGTCCCAGGTTGTGCAAATTGCGCTTGTGCTTTGCATGCCACCAACCTATGTCATAACGATGTTAGCTTTCTATCCATGAGCCAAGCAGCAGCACAATATACTTACAAGCCACCACAAAAGGAGTTGAAAGATAAACTTGGACGACCTATTGTTTTTTTGGGCATGATGCAAGTTTGCAATAACTTTAATGCATGGGGTTGTGGGTATAGTGCATGTAGACTGCTTCACGTATGCTCGAGGGGTTTTAGAGCACATGCTAAAACAATATGCCCTGACTTGTTCTTTCCCAAGCAGTGACTACCCCCGTTAAAGATTAACGTTTTGGCGAATCTCCTGTTAAATCACCCTTCCAGACACTTAGTTGAGTTTTTGAGCACTGGGTTTTCGGTAGGTTTCCACATGGGTATGGTTGCTCTCCCCACTATTTTGGAGTGTCCTAATTTACAATCTGCCTTGCAAGATCCCTTGTCAGTTTCTTTGCTTTTGAACAAAGAATTAGAGCATGGTTTGTGATTGGCCCTTTTCTGATTCCTCCATTTTTTAGCTGGAGAACCAGTCCACTGAGTATTGCTACTGGGAAATTCAACAATAAAAAAAAGGCCGATTATAGATTTCTTGGCTACTCATCCACGACACCTAGTCTCAATTCCTTGATTCTATCTGCTGACTTCTCACTACAACAGGGATAGGCAACCTGCGACACTCAAGATGTGGTCCACTACATCCCCCACAATACTCTTACACCCATAATGCTGGCAAAGCATCAAGGGAGGTTAGGTCACAACGTGTGGATGAGTAAAACAGATATCTCTAACGCCTTTAAACTCCTTCCCATACATGAATCACTTTGGCATCTACATGGAGTTAAGTGGAAAAGGTACTATTTTGCTACCCAGCTTACCTTTGGTTCTAAGAGCAGCCCAACGTTTTTTGACATTTTCACAGAAACTTTGTGCTGGCTATTTCTGAATTCTTGTAGATGTCCAATGGTAATTCACTATTTGAAATTACTTCCTTATTTTGGAAAAATTCGATACTACTCCCACGGGTTTACGACAGTATAACGAATCCCCTATACTGCGGCTGAGTATATCCGCTGTAGTTCTCCCAAATCCCCAGTATAGCAGTGATTATAGCTCCCAGTTCCCCAAACATCAGCCTGGACTTGATGAAGGGTAGAAACGAATGTGTTTAATTTAATCTGGCCAAATGACTCACTTATATACAAAACAAGGATGCAGTAAAACACGCCCAGAACACTCCCACAAAATTTCCACAAATTCCTGTGTGAGAGTGACTCAACACAAAAACATAAATTATCAAAATACATACAAAACAAATAGGAACCCACACAAATGATATATCATTAAATAGCCTTGATCTGAGCGCCCAAGTTCTCCAAATAGCGCTCAGATCCATGCAGTGTAGGGGAAACGCCACCTTGTGTTAGTTCTGACCAGCCACACACATGGTCCTATGCCCAAAACAGTTCCAGGACGTTTGGTGCTTTTGCCGGTTAACGTTCAGGTGTTCCTGCAGCCGCAATACGGGTGCTCCAGCTGGCTCCTCTGTAGCTTTTGTTCCCCTTAGTCTCAGGCACCTCCCCTCTAAAAAGCGCTCTCCTAGCAGATTTCAAAGTGGTTTAATACCGCGAACCAAGTTGTTCGGGAACCGCGCGCGCGGTCACCTGCTGCTGAAAACAGTTCCATAATATTTGTGGCTAATTCCCCCTGAGGTGACCGGGAACCCACAAAGTCCTAGTGCCGAAGTTAATTCCATACCGGTTGCCACTAAGTACTGCTGGTACTATTCGTGGGTTTGGTTCCCGCGAACGGCCACCAGAGAGCTAGTGTATGGTTCCATTCGTATAAAGGGAAAATGCCAGACCAGGGACACCCAGGGCAAGCTACTTATGGTGATTGAAAACCCTCAATAGCAAACCAGTAACCAACCTCATGCTGATGATTTGCATTAACAACGAAACAGCTGTCCATAAGTGGTTCACTGGCTTTGCATCTTTACCTAAGTTGTATTTCAAAGCTGTTGTATACAGCAAACAAAGACTCAAAGGAATCCATGTTTAAAATGGAATGAGGCAAAAATGTGATTCTTTGTTAAACTAATTTGCATATGCCCAGCCAGAATTCTTTCTGGTAGTAACATCACTGCAGATTTGTGATTTATGTGGGAAAAGCAAGTCTTATGGCTTGACTGGTGTGCAAATTTTTGTTTAACATTGTATTGACTATCAACAGACGACAGGTGGAAGGGGTTTTCAATCACAATTTGTTCCCCACCATAACCTTTTTGGTTTTTGCTTCCGTATTTTTTTTTATGTTATTAATATTTTTATAGGGCCAGCGCTCAACCTGATCATTAGCATACCCACAGCTCTCCGACAATCGGAACCCCTAAAGGCCAAAATTCTGCCCAAAACGGCTGCTAACTACACGGCAAGAAGCCCAGCGACACCCCAACACTGATGGGGAAGAAAACTAAAAAATTGCGCCCGGATTGGCCTCGGCAATCTGCGGACATAGGTGATCTCTTGAGGAGACCGCATGGCGCGACAGGGCCTAAGATGGCGGCTGACATCTAGGACTACTCCAGATGACAGCTCAGATGACATCCCCCTGCACTGCCCGAAGAATCTGGGATATCGAGGGCCGGCTAAGCCTGCACTGCCGACAGCGGGTTACCCGGTCACCACGGTCTCCTCTCAGACATGCGCCAGACACTATCCGCAGAGATCTCCCAAGTAAGGGACGATGTTAAAGAGTTTACTGCTCACCTCACCACGTGGAGCAGCTTACCCAAACACACGCAGCTCAGGTGATAGACCTCCAGATGTGGGTGAGAGAACTCACCACGGCTCACACTGCACTGTCCCACTAACTAGCAGACATGGAGGATAAACGCAGATGAAAGCACATAAAAATACAAGGCCTCTCTGACACTGAGACCCCAGCTGAGCAGCCCCATCTCCTCTGCAGGCTTTTTGCAACTCTGCTGCCCCCCAGGGGATACAGCTGGATGGCATGTTTCGCCTACCCAAACAACCACAACTCACAGGCTCAGCGACAGGTGACCTCCTTGTCAAATTCCAAAATGAGCAAGACAAAGCAGCACTCATGAGTGCCATTAGGGGAAGAACCCACTCAGCTTTGAGGGCATGGACTTAACATTTTTCTCAGACCTGTCTCGCACTACCCTGCAATGGCGAAAATCCCTTCGACCGCTGACAACATCACTTGTGGCCAGAGGGGGGACCGGCACACATGCTCATAATACCGCATCAGGGCACTGAACATCGAGTAATGGACATAGCAGAGATGGACACTGTAATGACGAAACTGGGCCCCCCCGACTACAACAGCTTGGGACCCAGCTAATGTCGTCCCGTTTGTCCCAAATCTCGGGAGCGCATCTGGGAAGAAAACCACATGAACCACCGCCTCTTGTTTTTCATGTTTTTGTTCACTTTTTTGTTCTTGTCTGTTCTCTCTTTTCATTACCATTGCTTAATAGATAGAGGTTAGCCCCTCTAGCTAACCCTTCACACAAAATGACCACTGACCCTAGACCACTCTAAACCTCCGGCACACGCAAGAAGGGGCCACATCCACGGTCATCCACTATAGACACCGGGAATAACCCGGGAAGCTGGCTCCACTATACCAACTAACCCCCCAGCTCCAATCTGCTCATAGCATATTTTAGTTTAATGATGAGGAGTTGTTTTACACACTACATTGGCACCACGTCGGTACCCTCTGTTCTCTTTTTTAAAGCCTGCGTTAAACTAGGCCATATCTTAGCAGCTACTACATATACTGCCTACCGGCCCCCCAGATGGCCAATTACTGCTGTTTCCCTGCACCCCTATAGCACATGTATGCTTACACTACCCTAAGGGAGCAGGTCTCGCAAAAGCTGCTACTAATAACATAATACTAACACACACTAGACCTTCTCATACGTGCTTATAGTATCCCCCCAGGTACCTATGCCTTCGATAACACCACTGTCCATACAGAAACTAATCTCTTTATAAATTAACAAGCTGATGTTTTATTTTATGTTCGACTCTTACCATTTAAAAATGTGCAGTATTCATAAATGCCATACTGATGTTATAAAATGTTACTGTTGGGCTTGTCATGGCTGTCGTGGCTATTCAAACAAGATGTAAAGCTCGCACAACAAAAATAAAGAATATTTAAAAAAAACATTTTTTATAAACGTTATATTCCCCCCTCCCTTTTTACCTTTATCCTCGGAGGTGGAGGTGAGTGAACGCTAGATTGCAGCTCCTCCTGCTAGAGATCATCTGATCTCCCCTGTCGGCCCATGGCCATCACCACCCATTTGGCATTTGCCCAGTTTGTCCGATGGCCAGTACTAAACTGTGAGTGGCCAGCAGCTAGGAACAATTTAAAAACTAGGAACTGGGCAGCTTTTGCTGTACAGGCCCCTTATGATCCCACCATGCGCAGTGATCAAAATCTACATGGCAGGGGCAATGTGTGTTAAAGGTCACATTTTATCTTTGCCAGTTTCATAGCTAGAATTATCATTAGAATGGATCATTACCCATAAGTGCAAAACAACTATAAAACCAGCTATATCTACACATGCAAAACAGCAAGAATGATTATTTTTAGGATCTATATAGCGCCAATATATTACGCAGCGTCTTGTAATTATATTTCAGTTTCCCAGCTCTAAAGCCGTGATATTTCCATTAGAAAGAAAAAAACACATTAGACACAACTGGGTAATCCCTAAATCCTGGACTGGTAGGGGTACTTGGGGACTGGGTTGGGAACCCCTGCTCTAACCAGCCAATATTGATGTCTTTCTCTCAATGTAAAAGTTGAGCTGGTTTCTGGTATAAGCGCACAGGCACAAACTGTTTTGAGCAAGTTCAATAAGTTTACGGATGACAGTAAATGAAGTTAAAATTAGAAAAATTTAATGCCGAAGCTAGTTAACAATTTTCTGCGGTTTAAGTAAAACATTTTTACCTACAATTTGAGAATAGTGAAAATATGTAACACACCCAAAAACCCATAAAAAAAAAAATCTATAGTTTAAATATATATAGAGTCTCGGTAGCAAAAACGTGCATTCACAAATGTAAGAATATGCCAGAGTACGGTGAAATCACTTTCAACAGTCGTGAAAGTGCACTTTTTCTCTGCATGTGTTACATTTTGATTTCAAAGTATTACACTATATTGTGTTTATTTTCTGATACATGCTATTCTCTTTTCCTCATTCTAAAAATGATACTCTGGCCTGTATATTATTTCCCCATGTACTACGGTACATCATGAAAATGAAAAATTACACATTTTCACACTATCATAGCACCTGCTTTGTGAAACTCAGCTTGTTCTCTTCACAAACATACCTAATGAACAAGATATCTCACCTCTTGCAGTTCCGTACCTCTGCATTGTCCTCCTGCTCGTCTGTTGGGTGTATAATCCTACAATGTGCAATGTAGTGGTGACAGCCCCCTACTTTGATTAAAAAAGAGGAAGTGAGCTGAAGTCACACCTTATCACGAGGAGATCTGTGTAAAAGTATTTCACCTAAAATAATCTCAGGTAGCAACTATTTAACCCCAAATAACATTATTTTCACTTTAAAATGTATAACAATATCGAGTATTTAAGGTAGATAGACAAATTAATTTCGCTCTATTCACTCCAGAGTGCTTTTTGTAAACAACCCAAAAATAACAAAAATAACAATAAATAGAAAGTATATGGTTCTTTAGCTAATACATAAACATATAACACATTTACTCACATTTACCTCCAAACCATGCTAGTTATTAACAAGAAATCTTTTTAACAAAAAATAGAAATTAGTAAGTAACCATCAAACAAAGCCAGACATAGAGCACATCACTCCTGATTATACATAATTTTCAACTAAAAGCTTTGCAACCACAACTGCCTCAGTGCCGCAAAAATCTCACTTCACTTAAAACAACCACTAATTAGAGCCTAGTGTAGTAATAGTGCTTGTAGTTGTTATGGTAACAGGAGTGCCCTGGCACGCTCCCATTGGAATTTCTCAAACTGTTTGGAATGTTATGACAACTTACCTGAGCACCACCTTGCAGGAGGTTAGTTCCATTGAGCTACGAGGACCATGCAGAGATGCCCTCATTGGTTGCGAGTGTCAGCTGGGAACTGCCTGGTCCTGGGTCGGATAAGCTTGGGTCAGTGAAGATATCCATATGGTAGAAGGAGGGGGTAGCGCCTTGGTGTGATTTGTGATTGTGACATTTGATTGCAAGTTCATAAGGTCCTCTGCAGGGACATACACATCCTGAGCTAACCTGACTACCTAGGGTCACCATGCACCTAAGCAGGTTATTGAAGAAGAGACTGGCCATCCTTAGATAGGGATCATACCACCCAGGTGCTACATGGTAGAGCTATTCGAGCTCTACACTTAGTAAGTGCACTTCTTCTTACTCTGAAATATGTTATACGGAATATACTACACTATATTTTGTTGTATTCTTTCTCTTTTATACATATTTAACTACCACCAACCTCTGAGATCACACCAAGGCACTACCCCCTCCTTCTAACATACACATTTTCTTTTGGACCATAACAGAGAGCCTCTGGTTTGGGTGTTTGAGCTGTCTTCAACTATATGTGCTAGAAACCTATAGTGTAAATACAAATTTTAATGAAGAATTTCGTCTTCTGCTGCAGAGCAGGAGCCCTGAGGACCCAGGTAAGTTGTCAGACACTTCTAAAACAGTTTGAAAAATTATACTGGGGAGGTGCCTGGGTGATTGGTATGTATTATTGAGGCTCCATTATGTTAGTATAGTTTATTATATTACAAAACAAGATACAAAGCATTGGTATTCGTTTTTCCAAGTTACCTCTCTCTCCCCTTCTAAACTTCCTATCTCTTCAATTAACTTCTTGTTTGGCAGATCTACCACACATTGGGGTCATTTGTTGACTGCTTTATAATTTGCATTACAGCTAACTTAGTTTGCTTGTTTCACTGTGGTCAAAAATGCTTTAGACTTGGGGGCGGAGCCTGGCTTCCAGGCTGCATGGACGTGCTGAAACAGAGCTCCTGAGCATAATGGCACGATTTGGGGCAAAGACCCCAATAAAACTGCACGCACAGCACCTGGAGGGTGACAGCATAGTCGGGGACACCCGGGCAAAACGATTGATACCAGTCATTAACCCGCTACTTACCGGGAACCGGCACCAGCACCAAGAGGCCTACTCGAGACCCTGTAGGGGAGAGGCGGCCGCTCTCCTCGCAGGCGACCCTGCACATAGAACCTCCACGATACTCATCTCCTACCCCCCCCCCTCTGGACCGGCGGGGGTTATCCCGGTCCGCACAGTGTGTTCGGAGACACCAGCTACCCGGAGACGCGAACAGAAGATAAAGCAGTGCTGGCGCCCACACGGCTCCCCCAAGATGGCGGCCGTCACCACGCTGCCTGCACTGAATCAGCTACAGCATACGACGATCCTACAAGACACCGCACAGCGCCTGAACGCAATATTCAGCCGCTTCTGGGCACAACTCAGAGACCGCATGAGAGCAGCACAAATCATTCAGAAACCTGCACAGATGGCAGGTAAGAGAGGCAGCTGGTGGCGGGGACAGGGAAGTGTACCCTTGGGCACAGCGACAGCCGACCCACACACCCCCAAACCACAGAGCCCACCCGGGCTGAAGGCCAAAGGGGAGAAGACCCGGACGCATCTCCCACACGCAAGGAGGCTTTATCGCCGCAAGCGGCCAAAGCCCATCAGGCCCTTCATTGCCCCCGTCAGGGAAAGAAACTCAGGCTCCAGTAGTTGCAGAGTTTGTGGCACCGAGATGCAGGCCTACATAACAGCCTGGGGCTGGAAGGATATCTTCACACTGCCCACCGCTGCTGCAGCCTTCAACACCACACCAACCAATGCTCACTGTTTCACAAGAGACGGCATCGGCTAATAGAGACTCTCTACACAAAGTCTCTGGACAGGTCAGCACCAGGCCCATAATCCCTCAGTTTAAGCCTGTTAAACTAGGTGTCCAGGACTGACAACCATGGAGAGCAGAAAGCATAAACACACACAACTCCGAACCACAGTGCTCTACAAGCAAACAGTAATGCTTAATGACGTGCAAATGTTATATTTTCTTTTATGTCTACTGTTATGATCTCTCATCACGCTACCTACACATTATACTTTAAGCGTCAACCATATCATGTCTATGAGTTTGTATATTGAAGTACCTCTCTTTTAATCGTTAATTTAGACATGTTGTGTTTAACCTATATTTATCTCCACCTAACATTCTGGCCACTTCTCTAAGCAGCTCACAGGCCATGGTCACCACTAGCGATAACCTTTGAACACACACCCTGCAGTAGGTGCCCATATTAAAACGCGAACAACTAAACTCTTCTTGCATTGTTTAGCCCGGCATGTTAGTAGTTAATAGTTTTATGCTTCACATAACCCTGCCGACAAACCATGCCACAATATACGGCAAAACAAGCCAAGATAAAAACCTGACTTGTAAGCATATAGCAGCTATTTGAGCGACTATTGAAATGATTTAGCTGGTATGTAACCTGCCATAAAGTGCTAGCTGCATTAATACGGCTAATTTAGCATTGTTAAGCTCTAATTGTCGATTGTCCTTATTATTATTTGTCTCCTCTACTTTAACTTAGATACTATAACTGTTTAGTTATAAAAAATATAGAAAAATGTGCATATTCCGATGCCACTGTCTAACATGTATTGATCTTGTTATACGCTGTTGTGGCGTTCGTTGACACCATGTACTCACCTGCACAATAAAAATAAAGAATAAAAAAAAATTTAAAAAATGCTTTAGACTTGCCAAACGTTGGAACTCCCGAGAGCTTGTCTACAAATTTCCGTTAGTCCAATAAAAAAAAAGGTATTAAAATAAACTGCAATAAACTACTGGGTTAATAGAGCCAGCAACTTAAATATCATGACTATTACATATCAATAACATTTAACAACCTCGACTTTTCAGTAGTTTACCACAAATGAGGATCAGCTGGACTGAAATTATAGCTGATATTTTGTGCTAACATTGATGATAAGATCAGGAGCATCAGACCTTTTGCTTTCTAACACCAAAGCTTAGCCTGAAATCGTTATTTAATAGTGTCCTAATTTGCCCAATTCTCTTATCCGTGAGTTTAATTCTAGTCTCTCGTGGTAGATAGAAAGGACCATGACAGACTAAAATCTCTTTTCTAGAAGTAAAATTTAAAAAAAAGCTTCATAGAAAGTTTGTTTTCATATGTGTAAAGGTATTAAGGTTGTAATACAATTTTCAGATCTTTTTTTTATTTTTTATAATTCTTTATTTTGTAGTGTGCAAGAGATAAGAAACATGCTTGCAATGCCACAACGGCAGTTCCAGGCAATTGAAAACAAACATAGTTGAACATTTGCGTGGCATTCAAAGAAAAGGCACAATTTTATAAAATGTATAATGCAAGCTGAATACAGGTACATCTAATGTGGTGGGTCACATTGAGGGTAGCGAACTTGAGACATTAAACATATATTCATTCTTAAATATGTAAGAGTGGGCATTCAAACATGTATGGGCACACTTAGTTTAGGAGGTCAGCTTCGCTTAATTATACAGGAATAAACAGTGGAATCCTATTGAACAGAAACTTAGTATGAATACACAGTCTAGCTATACTATTCATTAGGCTCAGGTAAATGAACATGTCTTGTTATGTTAAAGTCAAACAATAGGATAAACCCCTTAGGAGGAGCCCGGCTATCTAGATGCAATTTCCCCTCTACCAACATATAAGCATATACGTAAATGTGCAATCTCTGCCACTTGTTGTATCTACTGGTTTCATGCAAAGCGATCTTTGTCAGAGATAGTGGTATAACCACTCATGACAGGTGTATAGTCGCCATTTTGGGCAGTCGGAATCCAGGACAACCACCCCATAACCCAACCCAATAACGCACATACTAGAGGATATGGGGAAATATGTCCACAGCTTTATTTAGCAAACAATAATAATAACAATAATAATCATAATAATAACTTAACAAGTAAACATGGGTCATTGCCCCCCATACTCCGCCCTCGCATCCTATTCCTTCCATTAACATATAAAGGGCAATGACCCCCATATAAATAAACATATATATATAACATACATCAACATTATTCCAATCGATGTAAAGTGCCAACCATCCATTAACCACGGCAGGGGTATACCCGGATACCCCTACCCCACCAGGTTCTGAGCCACCGACAGGACTCGAAACCTATCAACCACCAATGACCACCACTTGTTTGTCTTCCATTACGTTCATCCTGGGGAGCCTATTTCCTCTCCTTCAGCTCCCCGTCCCGCCATAAGCTCAGACCTTGA